AAGTTATCTGACGGACCCTATAGTTATAAATTTTGCTTTTATTACCTGAAGATGAAGATTCGCTGCTGGAAGAATATGAGCTGCCAAATAATCCACTTCCCCAGGAATCGTAATCGTCTAAATATTTATTTTATTAGTTTCATTTTTAAGATTACTTGATAAATAATTTATATCTGTTTTTTTCCTTAAAAAGTACCTGATTCACTGCTGGATGAATATCCGCTCTCAGAAATTTCTTCACTACTTGGAGACAAGCTAGATTCTATAAAAAATTTGGTTTAATATTAGGAGTTTGTGGAATAAAATTATACTAGACTTGTTTATGATTAAAAGATATATTATTATGACTAATTTGCTAAAAATATCTAGAAAAGGTTGAAGATAACTCAGAAATTCAATTAGTAAATTTTTATTAGTAAATCTATGGATTTCCTAAATATACCTTGGTCAAAAATAGTTCAAACTTACCATCAGATGGTTCAGATGGTTCAGATGGTTCATCTCCTGGTTCTGATGATGCCGATTCTTCTAAAAAAAATATACCAAAAAATATTAATATAGACAAACATATATTGCAAACTATATTAATGCTAAATTCTTACTATCCTTAATTCCTATTATATTTTGGTTTTTAGTTTCCTATGCTTCTAATACTACTCATTCTTATTCAAATTTGGACATGGTTAATGCAGGAATTACAAAAAATTTAAAATAGCAACGTCTCACAATTGATAATTTTGTTAAAAATATTTTGAGCAGGTTTATGTTTATATTTACCTGAAGGTTCAGATGATTCTTCTGATTCTGGTGGTGACAACAATGCACCTGTAAATTTATAATAATATGTTAAGTTTTTTGTATGATAAAATTCCTGATGTGCCATAATTTTTAGTGATGACAAATTGGAAACAATATTTTAAAACACCATAGATTTGTCTAAATTATTTTGGATATTGATGGTATGTACTTACCTGGAGATCTAGATTCTTCTGATTCTGATGATAACTCTTCTGAATCATCGCTATCTGCAAAAAAGTAACAAGTTGTAATAATAATTTATTACATAATATAGTTTCTGATTTTCCAAAAATTTGATATTTTTTTGATAATTACTATTCCAATTAAAATAGTACATTCATGAAATACGTAATTATTGATTGAATCGATTATTATTATTTATTATATATATATATATATATATATATATATATATATATATTTAATTTTTTGATTTGTTTTTTTCATATTTCAGCTTAAATACGCGTTACCCATGTTCAAAGTCACTCAGAAGTTGAGTGGTAATGTTCATGATTATGTAACGTACAATAAATCGTTTAGAGGTGAAATTTCTTTATGTCTGAGACTTTTCACCGAACTATAAACTATAAACTATAAACTATAAACTATTAAATGTTGAGAAATCAAGGCAATTTGGCTTAAGGTTAAATATAATAAAAGTTTCAAATATTATTTGTCTGTAGGAGATTCACTTGATTCTCTTGTTGTAATACTTTCTGGTGCTATAAAAATTATTTCAAATTCATATAAAAGTAAAAGTTTAATGTATAATGATTTATTTAAATATTTACGTACCCGAAGGTGGGACACTTGGTGGGGCACTTGGTGGTGATGCAGGAGGTCCCTCTAAAATACAAATTTATTAGAGTATATTAATTAAATTTAATTTGTTTTAAAATGTGTTAATTGTTCTTCATTTTATATCATTTAAATCAAATTGAAAATAAATCAATCATATTTTACCTGGAGATGATCCTCTCGAGGAAGAACTGGAACCACTTGAAGGATCACTTTCTGGTACTAAAAAATATTACAATTAGATATAATATATAAATTTGATGAGTTAAATTATAATATAGATGGATTATATGATTATAAATTTAACAATTTATTGTATGATTATTTGTTGCAATATTTACGTACAAGTTGTTGGAGTCTGTGATGTTTCTTCAGAAGATTCTTCTGTAACATAAATTTGATTTGTTTTCTTAATTTGTATTAATATATATATATATATATATATATATATATATATATGCGTGTGTGTGTTTTTTTTATTTTGTTTTCTGTAATTTGGTTACTTATAAAGTACGCACCAAGTGATTCTTCTTCTTCTTCCTCGTCAGATTCAGATGATTCTGTAATGTTCAAACATTAATATTAAAAACAATATATTTATTATAAAAAGTATTCCAAAAAGATATAAACAATAATTATTTATTACATTTTTAATAAATTAGTATAAAAATGATTAAATTATTTAAACAATTTTTTTTTAACTTCCCGTAGGGCAAGTTATAGTAATCGCAAAAAAATCGAAAATGAAAATTTTTACTTTTCTCGACGTTTCAAAGGTTTCTGAATATTTTGGCATACCTTAGAAAAAATGGATGTATGTGTGTGTGTGTGTGTGTGTGTGTGTGTGTGTGTGTGCGTGTGTGTATGTATGTGCGGATACAAATTTTCGTCGACGATTTCGGGAACACCGATCAACCGATTTGAATAATTCAAAAAACATTCGATTCGTATTGATAAGGAGACGTGCTGATTAGTTTTTGGCAAAGTCAGGTCTAGCCGTTCCGAAGATACGGGGCAAAAAGTGCCGAAAACGGTAACTCAGTTTTTAAGAGAACGGAGCGTCCGATTTTAATAATTCAAAAAACATTTTACTTGTATTGACAAGGCGAAGAACCGATCAAATTTTCATAAAGGCAGGTCTAGCGGTTTCGGAGATCTAATAAAAAAAGTAAAAAAAAATGCCATTTGGCGGTCAAAAGTGATCATTAGACATATGCACATCAAATTATCAGATATTTTATAGAGATTTTAACAATAAGTATAATTTTGGTTTACATTCCTATGGGTTCCGTACCAATGTTTACGCGTTAGACGTCGACGGGGCGCTTACGCTGTTTGATATTTCGTCTTTATGCAGTTAAAGCAGTACGATTGCTTTGAAAAAAAGTTTAGATCTTTCAAAAATATGTCAAAATAGAGAAAACATTTTTTTTCAAAAAAAAGAAAATTTAAAAAAAAAAAAATTAAAATTTTTTTTTTCGAAAAAAAGTAATTTTTTGTCTAATTGTTTGTCAAAAATCTTATTTTTTCGAAGTATTTTTTTTTCAAAATCGTTAATCGTTTTTAAAAAAATAATAATTTTTGGTACGGGAAGTTCCAGCAATTTGCCTCAAGGCACGATGCCCTAATTGCCTTAAGACAGAATTCCACTTACAGCTAGTTTGTTACCTGATTGCGAAGATGATTCTGTAGAAGATGCAAGCTTTGGTGTAGATGGTCCTAAATTATAAAAATATTCAATATATTAATAATAATATAATAAATAATAAGCATAATGTTTTGAATAATAACTAATATAAAATATTATATTCATTCCAAGGTATCTAATATAAAATTATAAATTTACCTGTTGGAGGTGAATCCTCAGATCCCGATGATCCTAAAGCATAAAAAAATCAAAGTAATAATAACAATAATTAGTAATGTATCATGTTGATTATTAAATCCAATAAATTTAAATTTACAAAATAAAACTAGTTTTATAATTAAACATTTTTTTAAAATTTCATGAAAATAGAAGCGAATATCATAAAAACGCAAAATATTCAAAACATTAATAGTAAAATTAATTAAGTATTAACCTGTGTCGGAAGGCAAATCCTCTGTTTCTGATGACTCTAAATTACAAAAACGTAGAAAAATATTGATCATATTATAATAAATAATTTTCTATATCTAATTTTACAATATAAAATCTAATTGTATTTAAATTAATTTTACAATCCTAAATAATAAATATATAATTGTTTTTACCTGTTTGTGAAGTCGAAGAGTCAGAACCTGGTGCCCCTAATTCATAAAAAATTATTTAATACGTTGTTTAATAACTTTAAATAATTTTATTTAATATATGTTACTAACTATTTCTCAATATTTAATATACGAGTCTTGTACTTACCTGATTGTGAAGACGGGGGTGCTGGTGGACCTAAATTACAATACAATTAATATTACAAATTGCTATTTATTAATATTTAGTTAATAGTTTAATGTATTAAATAACTAAGATAAATTGTAGTACCTAAAAAACTAGTTTTATATTAAATTAATCAATTATATCAAATTATTATTTCAACATAATGTATTTTAATACTTTTTTCAAATTATACTAATAAAAATGCAATGTTTGAATAATTATAGTCAAAATGAACAATAAAATGAATTTGACAATATAAATTATAAATTTACCTGGTGGCGAAGTCTGAGACTTAGGCTCTCCTGGTCCTAATTTATAAAAATATACAATATTTTTATTAATAATATGATAAAATGGTTTAAAATAATAAAGAACGACTAAAATAAATATTCCATTTTTTGTGATTTTGTAAGAATTTATATTTCATCTGATATAAATTAACGAAATTTTTATATAAATTTAATTACCTGTGCTATTAACGGACGGAATGTGGAAGGTATTGTTTCCATAGTCTAAATATTTTGGAAATTGATATAAAAATCGCAAACAATGTTGTTATTTTATTTAATTTTAAAGCAAATACCTGCTAAACCTGATGATAAAGCTGTAGAAGTTTCTACATGTTCGGTTGTTGTCTCTTGAAAATATTTATTTTATAAATTTTAATTATACTAATTTTTATGATTCAAGAATTAAAGTAATATATTTTAGTTTATTACGTCTCATGTAATTTTAATTAAATTGTAAATTATTAGACTATTTAACTATTTAACAAACTAACATTTATCTAAATTTTCAACAAGTTATTGAGAATATAATATAGCAATTTAATTTAAAGTTTAATTCAATATAATATTTAGTTTAATCATATTTTTATTTATTTTTGACAGACATAAATAGTTTAAATAATTTATCAGTTGTTGTAATTATATACACTTTTATTATTTAGTGAATAAAATAAAATTTTAAAGTAAATTTTATTACTTACCTTCAGTTGTTGTCTTTACTGTTGGTGCTGTAAAAAAATAAAAAAAATATTCAAACTTCACTGATACTGATTTTGGTTAAGACTTTCAAGCAAAGGCAAAATATCTAGAAAAATTATAAACTTAAATTTTTATTTTTTGGACGAAGGATATATATATATAATAAAAACTGTAATTTACAAAAAATAAATAAACCTTTGATGTACTTACCTTTAGTAGTAGTAGTGGTTGAAAGGGTCGGTACTGTATAAAAATATTATATCATTTTAATATCAACATGTATCATATTTAGCATATAAACTATTTTAATCCATAAATATCTACTTTCTTAATAGTATTAAAATAAAACGTTTTTTTTTGTTAAAAAATAAATTGCTGTACTTGTATGAGATATGGTGACTTTTATTGAATATTTGCAAAAATTGAACAAAAATGTTATTGTAAATATAAGTTTAATAAATATATAAAAAATTGATCTTGGGTAACATTGCTCTCTTATCATAACGTATAGTAAAATCAATACGTAATTGGTAATCTTATAGTATTGATATATAGAAGAAATGGTCTAATATTTACTTGCTACTCGTTGTTGACCTTCTCCAATAACCCATGGTAAAGCACAACTAACAAAAACCAGCAGCACAAATAAAAGTTTCATTATTTACCAAAACACCAATAATTTCACACCAAAATCTAACTTCCAACACCAAAATATCTATTCACAGTAATATCTTTCTTAATAATTCTTCTTCTGCCTCTTTAGTCAACTGTCGAAAGTGAGAAAAATCTTCTTCGAGGGATTTACAGAATGAAAATCATAATATTGCTGACGTCAACAAAATTATTGCTGCAACACATTCGGACGCAAATTCTAGATTTTAGCGTCAACTTGATATAACACATTTTTTTTGTCGCAATTTGCAACAATTTGTTATTAACATAACATATGGGTACTGTTTTTGTAATAGGTGTTATTGCATTGATGGAAATTTTGCAACCAACTAGGGATATGTAAAAGATAAAAAATTTAACAAGTCGGGTGTATGGCATCGTGCCTTAAGGCAAATTGCTGGAACTTCCCGTATCGTAATGAAATAGTCGAGAAATTTTAAACGTTTTCAAATATATTATTACAAATACTGTGTAACATTCATTATTTTTGCTATCTTGTTATATCTGAGCAAATCAAATGTAAATTATAAATAAATCAATTTATCTCCAGAACATTAACAATCGTCATTTCATTTCGAATTCAATTAAAAAAAATAGTTTCCTAATTTGCACAAAATTGAAAAAGTGCGCCTGTATAGTCACGGTCTAAACGCATTTGCAAATAATTGTGTGCGACATTTTCACTTATACTGTGCTTAGCTTGGCGGCATTTTCACATTTTTCAATAGTTTTCACAAAATTGGAAAAGTGCTCCAGTACGTAAACAATCTAAACGCACTTGGCTAAACATTTGTACCAGAGTGTCGCTTAGACCGTGCTTAGCCTGGGTCATTTTTTGAATTTTTTGAATAAATTACAAAAATATTTTACAAACAAAATTAGAAACAAAAATTTTTTTAGCATCTTGGACATCAGTTTTGTCAAAAATTTTAAAATATTAGTCAAAAATTATTTTAATTATTATAGCAATTGTTAAACTGAGAAGATCTCATTGGAGCTCTTCTTAGGCTTCGCTCTTACATTGTCATTTTAGCTCATAGGAATCTTAATGTATTTCTGATTGCTAAATAAAATGAGTTAAAAAAAAAAAAAAAAAAAAAAAAAAAAAAAATTATTTTTTTCTTTGCAATTACTATTATTTCTTGAGCAAAATTGTGCAAAAATAGTTTAAATTACAGGATATATATTTTTTTAAATATTGAACTTTAATTTTTAATTTATTAAACATCACATAATTAGTTAAATATAAATTAGTTAAATAAATAATTACATAATTAGTTGTATCAAATTTTGTCTTTGCAATTTTGAGATTTAGTATAAATAAAATTTGTTTATGAATCCGATAATTTATATTATTTTTTTAAATTGCTCACGTTAATTTTACATATTTTTTATATTTAATTTTTGAATTTCTATGTGTCATTTTATTACTATTTTTTTTAATCTAACATTTTTTCATTTTCTACATTTGTATTTTTTGTTTTTTTCCTATTTTTTCTGATTTTTTACTGTTTTTTCTTCTATATTTTAAAATTTGTATTTTTAGTCAATTTTCTATTTTTTTATTTATTGAATTTTTTATTTCATTCATACATTATTAATATTGCATTATAATACTCCATTATTATTTTTTTAGTATTATTTTATTATTCAGAAATTTTATTTATATTATTTATTAATTTTATTTTTATTATTATTTGTTTCTATTTTATATTAAATCATCATATTACGGATATTATTTTCTTGTAAATTCTATCCTTTGCACTTTTATTTATTTAAATTTATGTTATTATTTATTAATATTACTAGATGCTAATTATTTAACAGTTGTAATAATTATTGAAATTAAAAAAAAAATTCATTGTACTAAAATTCATATGTAACAATTAACATTATTATGTGAATATTATTTTTCTGATATTAGAATTGATACACATTGATTAATAATAATTTTATTATAATTTATATACTAAAATTTATTAAACCCTGTTAAACAAACTAAATACATATATTTAATATAATTTCCACATTTTGCAATAAATATATTTATTTTGCAATAATCAAATTACGTAATATTTAATATATAATGAGTGTCAGTTTCTATTTACTAGAATATTCAGTCTAGAATTTGCTATAAAATATTTAGAAATGATTATAAATTAAAATATATAGTATATTATTAAATAATAGTAATCATAATATAAATACATAATATGAAAAAAAAAGAAAATAAAACTAGAAAAATAGCTTGATGCGTTTGAAAAACTAAGTAATAGTAATAAATAATTTTATTTATTTAAATTATTTATTAAAGTTTATATATAAATATATTTATATATATATATATATATATATATATATATAAATTAAAACAAATAATTTTGACATTTGAAAAATGGTCTTAATAATTAAATATTATTTACATTTCTTCAAAATTAATTATACTAAGTTAAAAAAATTAAATTTGTATTCATAATTTTAATTCTGTTTTAAAATAAAAAATAAGATTTTTCAAATGAATGAAAAATATATGAGAAAAAAAATTATTTTTGTTTTTTTTGGAAATAAATAATTTTGATTTGTTACATTTTTTCTCTTACGAAATTTTCAAAGTATGTATCTTTTCTCACATTTATCCAAATTTTCGTTCCCAAAAATTCTTTATACTTCTTCCAGCATTTCGGAAAAACCTTTGAGTACTTTTACGAGCATTTTCAAAAGAATCAACCACACTTTTCAAAAAATCCTATACGATTTTCGACCACAACTGTTGCAAATTTTGTTTGGGTATCTCGGACATCTTTTGCAGAATTTTCAACTTTTGAATCTAAAAAATAATAAAGATAAATTATTTATATTATTGTTAAATTTAATATTTTATTTAAAAAAAAATACAAAACATAAATTGTTTATATTATTATTAAATTTATTAATATTTTACCTTGATTTGGTGGTTCTTCATCATTTTCTAAACAATTTAATTTAAGAATTAAAAACGAGCACAAAAAAATTATAAAAGAAATTTTATTCGTGAGCATTTTTCTTGAAAATATTTTTCTGAATGTCGTCGTTAAATTCTTAGACTGATTTGATTTATTTTGTTTAATAATATTAGACTGATTTAATTCATTTTGTTTATGATTGTTTATAATTTGTTATTAGAGTGCGATAAATTGTTTTTGCATATAACTTTGGACAAGGTTGATATAAATATTATTATAAAATTAATTTTTAATTTTGTGCGTCATTCAAAATGTTTAAAATTTTATTTTGGTTTTTAATTTTAAAGAAAAACAAAAACAAAAAATTTATTTGGTATTTTTAATTGTACAGTATAAATTTACATAAAGCAAAAGTTTTATTATTTACTAAAATTTTCTTTGACACTTAAAATTTTCAAAATATTCTCTTAATTTTAATTTTTGAAGAAAAATACACTTGGTATTTTTGAAGAGCTCTGCAGGATGTACAAATTATTTTTCAGTACTTATAAAATATATTTATCAGTCCTAAAATTATTATATTGATTTTTTTTAAGTATTTTAAATTGTTTTTTAAATTGTTTTTTTAAGTATTTTAAAAGTTTTTTTTTCATACAAAATTTGGAGTTAATATTTTATAATTATTTAACGAGCTCTGCAGGATACACAGATCTAAATACAAACTTAAATATGGAATTCATCACATATAAATATTTTATACTTAAAAAATATTATATTTAAAATTTAATAATATAAAGAGAATTATAGATGTGAATTATTGTGTTCAATTCAAATTGAATTTAGAGACAAAAGTGCATTTTTTGAAGAGCTCTACAGGACGCATAGACTTATTTACAGTCTTAAATTATTGAATTTATTATATCTAAAATTCGTAAAGAAATAATTTATATTATTGTATATAGGTCAAGAACTTTTTTTGAAATTTGAAGTGTAATTTTATATTTTTTTAACGAACTCTGCAGGATACACAAATTTACCAAATATAAATTTTATATATTTATTTTTAACATCATAAGATTATTTTATTTTTATTTATTTAATATTTTATATAGCCCTGATATGAAAAATTTAATTGCTGATAACATTTTACATAAGTATAAACAATTTTCAATTCAATTATTTATACTTTTATTTCTTTAGAATAACAATATAAACATCAATTGTAATTGTAAAAAATATTTAACTTTTTAAAATTTATACTAAAAAAGAAAATATTTGTTATTAATTTATTAATTATTAATTTTTTTAATAAAGTTAATTATTTTCAAAAAGTAGATGCAAAATATGTTGAATAAAATGAAAAAAGCACACAAAAAATAACAGGAAAATAAAAACATAACTATTATAAAATAATCTTTTTTTAATTAAATATAGAGATAACTTTTTAATTGTAAGGATATAAATAATTTTAATTCTGTTTAAAAATTTATAATAAAACTAATAAATAAACCTGATGTACTATATAGTTCTAACTCATACAGCTTTTTTGCAAATTTTGTTAAATTCAAGAAAAAAACATTAAAAAAATATATAGAGAATTACAAAGAAAAATCATTAGGTGGTAGGCGTACATAATATTTATTTTTTTAATTTAAATAAAAAATTTACTAATTAATTATAAGGATACTAATTATCTTAGTCAAGTATCTAAAGCCTGAATTTATATTATTTTAATATATTTAAAAATTTATAATGAAATTAACAAAAAAAAGAGATGTTCAATTTTTAGTTTTATCTCATACTGCATTTTTTTCTGCGAAATTTGTTAAATAAATTTTAGAAAAAAACATTAAAAAAATAAATACAAAATTATAAAAAAATACAAAAATTGATAGGCATCTATAAATATAATTATAAATATAATCTATATATATATATATATATATATATATATATATATATATATTTGACTTTAGTCAAAAATCTAAGGCCTGAATTTATTATTCTTAATTTTCTTTTAAAATTTTTTAATAAAATTTGTAAAAAACATGTATGTCCAATTTGTTGTTA